GTGTTACCGGTGTCAAGTGGAAGGGGCAGCGGGCGAGGCTATGCCGTGCTCTTGGTCTACAGAGCCTGCCGGGGAGAGCAAGTTCTCTATTGGTGGGAGGGTGCAAAGGTGCAGACTTTGTCTTGACGACCTGCGTGACGACCCTTTCCCCATCTCCAAAAGCACCCTTAGGAACGGTTGTTTGTTGAGCTATAGAATCAAGAATACGCTGCTATTTTCACCGCTCTTTCATTAGCACTTTTATCTTCCCACTTGTGTGCAAATTATCCAGATAGATGGGAAAATTCGGCGGAGTTTGGCTTGGCGTATTCCCGAAATGGTGCTCAGCGAACACTGTACAGACCTGGTGAAGACTTCTGAATTCCTGTAACCGAAGTGTATCGCTTGTTTCAGTTCGCAGCTTTACAGGACTCTACAGGTCACACCAAAATAAGCCCAGTTAACTAACACCAGTTAACAAAACTAATTAGTGGAAGTGCAAAATGCCCCTCCCAAGGCTCATCAGCAAAATTTTCTTCTTTTCAGATGAGGAGTATGTCCCACCGAAGGCTGAAGTGGTTGAGTTCGAAGAACCTGGTGCTACTTTTTCGTCGAAGTAGGTTACTACAAATTCTAGAGCTTGACCAATAGACATTTTTGAATCAACTATAGACCGCAGTTTTTTTAAAGGTGTTCCGTTTTCAAACTAATTGACAAGCAGTACACTAAGCTGGGTGTGGGAATGCTTCATTTGAAAGAGGTTGATGGAAAGAAGACTGTACTGGTCCGAGCAGCGACAGCAATAGGTTGGTTCATTTTTCGTTATCTTCACAACTAGTTACAGTTAATTACAATCGTAAGTTCAGTGTTGAATAGTTTTTTAAGGTTTTCGGCGTGCTTCGACTAGAAGGGGGGGGGGCATTTTGCACTTTCGCTGTATCCCGTTGTTGGGTTCATTGCCTGAGGAGTAACCAGTTTTCACAAACTTTAACTGGTACCACTATTTCACAAATCTTTACTTGATGACTTGACGCTACAGTGAGAAGTAGTGAATGTCCAAAATGCCTGCCCCTTCCCCCCTCCTCCAGCCGAACTGCCCCCGTTTCAGCAGCACATTCGTGCTTTCTTGTTCCTTTGGTATACCAATTCTTTCAGGAACTGTCTGGATTAACGCTCTCATGAATAAGACAATGAAGGCTGTAAAGGCCGACGAAAAAGGAGAAAAGATAAGGGTGAGTAAAATTTATTTAGTTTGTCATTGTGTATACTTGTAAAATATTCGTCAAGACAGAAGTACTTGGTTATTGTAATAGCCGTTACTTGAACTTTCGTCCATGATCCTGTCGTGAAACCATGTAGCGTAAATGGACAGACGACAACTGCTGCCTTTGACGGGTTTTATACTTCGCTACTCGCACGATTTTCTCTTGCGACTGCAAACTTCGTTCTATTATGAATCAATGGTTACAGCGCTCCAACGATTAGTATTTAGCGCGGTCGATCCCGGTTGCGCAATTCGGCAGTCGCGCAGCTGCGTCGCTCGAGTCCTAAAGTATAAACGTAGAACGAGGGTAGCGAATTTTGGGGTGAGTGAGGCGCTTATCAAACTTTAGAATTGGAATGTTAGGCCGCTTTCATGCTTGTGATAGAGGAGATTAGGGAGACTCGGCTATTTGGAGAGGATGGAAAGTATAGGTATTGTTGTGCTGTCGGGAGCAATCGGTGGTCCGGCGTTTTGGGCGACTCGGCGGCTCTCGGGCGATAGCGCTCGAGTTGATGGATGTGGGTCAGCACGGTCGCTAGCTATTTCTAGAGATTCGGCAGTCCGGTGCAGAATCGGTGAGTCTCCCGAATCGGCAAATATCCTCAGTCGCAAGGAAGAACACGGCCTTACAGTGATCTCAAACTCATTTAAATAGGGTGCAGGGGCTTATTCATTACTTTGCCACATTCACATGGAAAAACTTTCTTCTCTCTTATATTGTTTCATTGAATGCCTTCTTTTTTTTGCATTTTTCAGATGTTTCGATGCTGTTCGGCTTAGAAGGGGGTGGCATTTTGCTAGATCGCTAGTTTTGTTTATTCATGTCAATTAACAGGTCTCACTTTGGTGTAACCTGTGAACTCTTGTGAAGTTGCTAGAGCCACTTTAGTTACAGGACTTTCACAGGTCTGCACTGCACAATGGCCCGTTGAGGTTTCCCTCATTACCACTTTTAGTGCCCTCCTCCAGGCCGAACTGCACCGATTTTTCCTTAAAGTGATTACTCTTTTTTCGCTAGATTTACACAATTGCTGCGAAAAGCCACTTTCAGGTAATATGTCCGACGAGTGAAAAAGAGATATGCACGTATGTGATACGTTTTCCATCAACGAAAGAAGCCAGCAAAGTACTTGAAGAAATCGAATCGGCTACAAAATAGTTCACAGCTGTCTGTATACTTAGATATTGCTTATATGCCTTTTACTAACTCTTGTTGAACTCCCTTGGTGAAATTAGCGAGTCTAGTAAGCTCAGGTCGTTGCTTTATAATCGATTCCGTTCCGTTCTTCTTTCTTGTGAGGTCTCCAATATTAGTTCAGTTAAGGTCGATTTCGATCTCGAGTTTAGTAGACTTGGTCTTGTTTTACGCGGTTACTGTGAAATGACATTACGTTCCAACTTTCTGAAATAAAGTTAATAGTTTTGAAATGGTTGAATGGATAACTAACTAGCCTTCCCCAAAAAAAATCGTCGTCGAACGCGCTTCACCGGCCGATCCTCCTTCTGCGTGTGAAGTGACTTTCCCCCCACACATTCCCAAAAATTAGTGGGCCAGTCGGATCGGCCGGAAACTGCCCGAAAACTTTTTTTCAAAAATTTCCATATTTTACCGTTTCATTCACAGTATAGTATTTCATTCCCCCTCCCCCCCCCCCCCCCGGCTACTTCCAGTTGTTCAGCGTAGGTACGCACAACTTGTATTAGTATCAGAACAAAGCCGGGTGTATTTAGGGGAAGTGATAGTTCGCCAACTTGTAGAGGAGGTATTAGTACTTTGACTAAAGCTTCGTCCAATGCAGTTACGTATGCTAATGCTGATACAAAGTTCTGATTCAAACCACGTTCACAGCCGGTGTGCCTCCCCCATCCGTGCCGTTTCGGAAGCAACTACGAATTTTTTAAGGTTTCTTATCAAACAGCGGACGGGCGCCTGAGTCCACTCCTCGCCATTCTCACTTTTAAAAGGAACAAAAAGGAAAGTCAACAACCGAGAACATTTTTCAGAAATAAATACGCTTCTCTCTCAAACCGGTCCACTAAATACGACCTCCTCCGCTGCCTCGCTGAGGATTGCATCGGCTCACACATATGACGTGCCTTCGTACACCTTTTATATCACCCTCTCGGACTCCTTAACTTACGCAAAATGTCATCACAGTTGTGAATCGCTACCAAGAGGCAAAGTCAAGCTCATCTCGAAGACAACACATAGTCAGGGCACATAGTTTGGGGAAGCCCCAACAGAGAGATTGTATTTGGTCGCCAGAAGAAGGGGGGGTCGTATTTGGGCCGAGAAAAATTTATTTTGACAGTTGATTTTTCTAGTTTCACGGACGTGGTAAAGGGGGCGAGTCGTATGGTCTCCAAAAAAAGTGGGGGGGGGGTCGTACGGGAATTCGGCCAAAATGCCGCGACCAATGATGGGGTGTCCTGCCCATCAGTCCGGCGTTGAAGAGACACAAAGTTGCGGAGATTTCCTGCCTTTAGTGCCACTCCGCTTGCCCATGTCTAACTACATACGCTATCTCCCTGGTATTCTTCCAAACGCTCCAGTTCAGGACAGGTTTTTTCTTCCAGAAACCTGCGCGCTCGAGCGAGAAGAGGTGTTCGAGGGGGGTGGGGGGGGGTATACTAGCTCTAGTTAATGAAAGTAACTAGTATGTTGAGAGAAAGTTAACTACTTACGAAACATCCTTCACAAGACGATTTCGACCCCTTTCAACAGCCAAATACAACCCCTTGCTGGGGATCCCCAACATACGCCGTGCCCCGGTTGTCGTATCTTGAGGGTAATTGTAGTCTCAGTAGTATGAACTGGACTGTAATGTCTGTACGCTTATCTGGTTGTCGTATCTTGAGGGCAAGTTGTAAGTTTCAAGTAGTATGACACTGACAGTAATGTCGTACAGCTTACTAACCATAAGATATGAGGAGTATGGCAAAAAGGTAATCATCGACCATTTTCCGTGCTTACGCCACGCATCCGTTTGCATACGAGGTTTTGTTGGTGTAGAAGCTCCCGCTGGCGAACTTTTTCTTCTTTTATTTCTTTTCTCTTTGAGAGCTATGGCTGATCTACCGAGGTACTTTTTCCAGAAGAGTGGGTAAATCGAAATCGTAGGGATGTCATCTGCGAGACCATGAGAGCGCACTGGTCAGGTTGCCGCTAATCCATCCACACGACCCGTGAGATCAAATTTCACTCAGGTCCAACGAATCTTTTTTCTCTGGGATCGATTGTGACGGTAAATTTGTTGATTTCATAAACGACTAGTACCAGAATAACTGTGTAAGCACCTATTGATAGGAAGCTAAACAAAACGTGGTAAGCTGATCGGAAGTCGAGAGCACAGTGAGGAGGTTAGGGGTAGTTCGGCTTGGTGGGGGCACCAAATGGTACATAGCAAAGCGAGTTCCGACTTTGTGGGGACTGTGAATCCGATTACTTACACATTTTCGCAGCTTCACAGGAATTTACAGGTTTCACCAAGGTGTAACATGTTAGCTAAGAACAAAAGGAATTGGCGGGAGGGCGAAATGCCCCTCCCAAGCCGAACAGCGTCAATATCAGCTCGAAGTGCTTGAGTTCTGGTGGAAGCACAAAATACTGTGGATATCATTGTCCAACTGATGTAGGGTGTGGTTTGATTTTTAGTAATCGGGGACAGCTTAGTGACCTTCCCTTTTGCACGACAAACCGGTTTTTCCCCATCACTGCACCGATCGCCGAGATTTCCCATGTCTACAAGCGACTGCACATCTTAATCTTCCTACCGAGCACTTCTCTATTTTTGTGTTTAATAAGTGTTTTTGAACTCGTAATTATAGGCCACCTTACGGCGTTAGGCTTTCTTCAGACTTCATTCTGGTACTAATTCTTCGAAAAACGGCACAACCTTGCACTGAATTTGCTATTAGTCCTTATCGTAATTGACCCTGGCTCCACCTCAGACAGCCCCGCCCACTCCTCCACCCTGCTCTTGGTGGTTTTTCTTTTTTGTTTTCCAGCGTTTTTTTTTGTCAAACCCTCTGTTGTGTAGATGACAGGTATCCACGACGTGATAACACGCTCGGTCGCAGATCAGCTTGAGAGGGGGGGGCATTTTGCAGTGCACTTTCGCTACTTCTTGTTGTCGCGATATTTGTCAAAGCTTGTAAAAACTACTTGCCAACTCTTCCAAAGCCCCCCCCACCGCCACCAAGTCGTAGTTCGCGCAATCACTCGACACATACTAATGATTGGTAAGAACAGGTCTACGGTCGTTCAACCCTAGGGCTGTGAAATCTTTAGCTATTACGCAAGAGAGTCGCCTAACCTTTTTAATCATCCTCAACTTCTGCGGTGGAGTACTGCGTGCATAAAAAAACTTGCAAACAATTTTGAATAAGGCCATTTTTATCTGCTCTGCTGAGGCACGCTTTTCTCGTTCTTACGGGCAATTAGTTTAGGGTCAGAATGTTCCTAGATTATTACTACACAATGGTATTCAAGTTTTGAGGTAGTGGCGCCGCTTACCGCAAATGAGGTCTGGGGACCAAATCCCGAATCGGCTCCCGCCCAAGCAAACTACTTCGCATGCTTGCGAGTAAAGGTGAGTGGTGCGGACTCGTCTAAGAAGACAAAAACGTCGACTTCTACATTGGCAACCCCCCCCACCGCAATGCATTAGGCCAATTGACATTCAAAAGCCACCGAGTTGATTTCCAAACGAAGTGAACATGTAAGAATTTCTAGTTTTTTTGAATAGCTTTTTGCGGCTGACTTGGATTGTGAAACCACAGTTTTCGTTCAAAAATTGTAGGTAAAACTATCAACAGGTGCGACTTGGGCTTGTTCCAAGTTTTTTTTTTCCGCGGCTATGTTTCGTACGCTATCACTAATTTCCCTTATCCAAAAGATAAGCCGTTCCCAGGTCTACTTCGAGGGGTTTCAGGGGGGGAGGGGTAAACGACGTAACATCCACGTTGCGGCGTTGAAGTGAGGTCAAGCGGCGTCATATGCGCGGAATTCGCACCAGCGCCTTATATTGTGAAACAAGGAGTTGGATGTAGAGATGGGCTGCCCTTCAATTAATCAACCGGAGTCAGCCAATATTAGTATTCCCGCTTCAGACGATGTAATCTACTGCGGTACCATTAACGTTTTTAGTGGTCTGCATGCAGTTTACATGATTGAATTGTGTGGCGTTTACCCACCCTACTGTAGAACAGTTTATTAGGTCCGAAATAATTTGGTTTTGGATGCTGATTCCACGGCTCTTCTATCCCTGACGAAAGTATAAGCTATCTGTTGGAAACGTGGTCGCGCCTGTACCCTCGCTATTCGATTCGCAGGTTCGATTATGTCCTGCGACTCCTCGCAAGAAGTATTTTGTGAAGACATCTAGCTTGTTTACACCCTCTGAACGCTCGAACGGAAAGGACCCGCTTCCTGATGGCAGCTTAGTAACCTAATCGTTCGCGCCGATAGAACATGCTAGGAATATATTCGTACTCTCATATGAATACACCAAGTCAACTAAAGTAACTTCAGGAAGTCAAGGCAAGGTTTCAGAGGGCCCTGTTCGGCTTTGGGGGAGGGGCGGAGATTTAGCACTC